GGCTGTATACAGCCCTTTTATATATGTATACAGCCCTTTTATATAGTCATTTGACCAATGGAAATACTGTGTATATACATAGGATAATAGGTTACAACCTTGTAACTTTGGCAACTGTTGGTGGGCCAAATCAAATGGCTTGGYGGGCCAAATTTGGCCYGCGGGCCCCACTTTGGGTTCCTCTGCTATAGACACAAAAATGAACATGAGATGAGCTTAGATCAGGATTTTTACAACTTAATTTTTGCACAGTGACGACTCTGAAGCTCACTTTCACTGCAGATTTTATGCCTGTTTTGTTAAGAGTGCTGCCTATAATGAGTCCCTGTCAGGCTCATTTCTTCTGATCCTGATTATTTACAGTTACACATTAAAAAGGTACTTTTGTCAGTTTATTATTAAACTAGTAAATTACGAAAGTACTGTTGGACTTTACAGAGGACATGTGATTTATATGAAATGTCAAACAGTATTTGCATTGGCACCCTGAAGATTGTTTTCAGAACTAGTTCTCTCTTGTAGGGACTTTTAGTGAGATCCAAGATGTTCCTGAAAAGGAAACTGGTTCATTTTGTCCCAGCATCTGTTCTGCTGACCATACAAGGACAAGCCACTGCATCAGGCAGCACAAAGTCTGCTCAAATCATTCAAACTTTAAAACGACCCCAGCGTGCCCATAAAACAGCAGGACTGGGTAATCACAACGTTCCCCCAGGAAATGTGATCCGTCCACAGGCTTATAAGGTTCGACTCTTCAGACGTCTTAACAGGATCTGTGTTTTTAAAGTGACTCTGTCCAGTACAGAGGTTTGTCAAATAACCATAATTACTACTGAAATGTGTTAAATACATGTAGTCCTACAAAGAGTGTTCAGAGAGAGTGGCCCTGTCGTGTTTCTACAGCAGACACTCACCCAGGACATCGGCCGATCTGTGCCGGGCGATGAAGCACGCGTCGTCCCCGTAACACATGCCCTTTTTGAGCACCCCTCTGCGGACATCCTTGCCGAAGCCGCAGCTCGCCGTCACCAGGCTGTAGTCTCGGCTGTCCGTCTGAGAAAGTCCGCCGATGACAGCTCTGGCAACCAGTCTACCGTAAGACAGCACGGACAACATCACCTACAGCCCAGCTCCGCGCTACACTGACCGGCCAAGCTAGCCGCGCTGCCGGTTTACTGATGTCAGCTAACCAGACACTATTACCGAAAACAACCACCGGCCACACAGATATCCTGTAGCTTCTAAAAAGGTTTTCTCTAACAAAAAATAATGAAGTAAAAACCAGTCGTTTTATCCCGTCAAGAGCCGCTGTACGCGCTGGTTGTGAGTAGCCATGCTGTCAGCCGAACGTCCGAGACGTTATGTACCGCTTTAGCAGCGGCGGCGTCTGCGCATGCTCAGAGCGCTGTCTTATGACTTCCCTGACGTCACACGTTACCGAATCGAGTCCTAATATGGGCCTGCAACCTTAAAGAGGAACGTGCCCCCACCCCCACCCCCCCGAAAGGATAACTC